CCCCAATTATCGAGCTGACGACGCCACTGCCACTGCGAGTTTATTAAACGGCTTCAAACACGACTACAAATTCAAAAGATATACTGCCTTATTAGTATTCTTCATATAGAGAATACTAATGAGGGCACGACTACAATACGGATACTGCCTTATTAATATTTAGTATTCTTTATGTACAGAGTACTAATTAGGCGTGTTTTATCAGGTTTAAAATGGCACTCGCGTCAAAATTTTTATTTTCTTATTATCTTAAAATGTTCTTAAAACTGCTTAGTAACTGTCAGATAATATGGTAAGATATTTTTTAGAGACATGTGGATTGATTAGATAAGTAGATTGGCATTTATAATTGCATGAACTCAAGTATTTTATAATTAACTGTTATGTTTGTACATAGCTAGGGAACATTGATTGAGCACGTGATTTGTGCCTTTAAATATTTATGTAATCTAGTTTTTAGTCAGTTGGACAATTATGGTGTTGGATTAAATAAAGGGAAAATCATAACTATTATCACGATTCATAAAGGCCCATTTACACGATACGATTAGTTGTATACGATTGTCATTCTGACGAATGAAAACGAGTGCTAATGCCACGTTATTGCTCATTCGCTAATGGCGAAATTTGAAATGTGACGTTTGTACGCGTGTTTATTCGATCACATACGCCAGAGTAAGAATCGTATACAACTAATCGTACCGTGTAAATGGGCCTTAACAGTAACTTGTTTTGAAGATTTTTGCTCCCATGCTTAATTCTTGAGATATTTCATTTTGTTTGTAACCGTGTGACGTCAATGACACGATCACATATATAATGAGACATCAATAATTGTTGTGTATCTTTGCTGTTTTTGATGGATTTGTTTAAAAAAAACACAGTTTGCTTAATGATGTAGGTCAAATTAAGAAACGCGCCGCATTTTTGAAAAGATTTGATAAAAAATAGCAAAGATACACAACAATTACTGATATCTCATTATATATGAAAATTGAGTCATTGACGTCACATGGGGCCAAAAAAAATATGTGGGTTTCCGGTTTCTTCTTATAAAAACTTAGGTAGGCTAGATCGGTTTTAACTTTTTTTTTTAAACTTTTCTTTTAATTTTCCGAACAAGCGGACGCCATTTTGTTTAGTCAGTGCTTCCACGTCCAAAGATAAATTTCCCTAATATTGCCTCAAATTTCAATTTTCCACAAACTTTTTCCTCTAAGTGGAAACACTTACAAGCATGATCCAATAAAAAAGTTTAGGGTCGGGATTTCGACGTCCAAAAGCTAGGTAGGGTCGGGAAACCGGAAACCCACATATTTTTACAAACAAGATAAAATATCTCAAGAACTAAAATCTTCAAAACAAGTTACTATTCAGTTTTAAGAGCATTTTAAGGAAATAAGAAAATAAGAAAATAAAAATTTTGACGCGAGTGCCACTTTAAAGCCATGCACTGCATGTGAGATATTATGGTTGACATGATTTGTCAATAAACGTATGAATTATTAATGTCTAGCTAATGAGTGTTTGAATTTCATTTATATGAATTAAGAGCACTAAAAATCTACTTGTCTCTACGACTCTACCGATGCAGTATTCACAAAATTATTCATAGGTAATTTTTTGTACTGAGACTCGTGTTTATGGTATTTAGTAAGCTATACCACCATATCAGCTAAGGCTAGCCGCTATAAATTTACTATCGTGTTTATAGAAGAAATATGTTTAGTTTCATTGTTATTATTAACAGTAGTCATGCAGTAACATATTTGCCAAAATGCCAAATTTGAACTTGGTTGCCTTCGCTTCGGCGTCTTGTTATTTTCCTATATTGGCTATCGTGTAAACACTGAAACACATTATCATTGTATTTACAAACATGATGGAATTGATCGAATTTCAAAATATAAAATAGACGGTCTTACAACGTGTCATACCCATTCAAAGCCCAGAAACATTTCGTCATATAAATTGAGCATTATTCAATGATTAATTAGCTGAAAATGTCTATGTAATTTTGTCTCCTTATTGTATACAGTAAATGAAATAAATCACATTTTTCAACGCTCTTTTCAACTTGCAATCGTTTTGTTTTTAGACGAAAAAATTAAAATTTATATAGGGGGCGAATTTCCTAAAGGGGGGCAATATTCCTAGGATAATCGCCGGGAGGCGTTATTCTTAGGATATTCGCCCATATTCCTAGGAATAATGCCCCCCTTTTGAGAGGGGGCGAATCTCCTGGGGGTGAGGCCGAAATTCCTGTGATCATGACACCGGCCTGTCCGGTGCCCCTGCCCAGGGCCGTAAACAGCAGGGGGCAACTGCCCCCCCCCAGAGAAACCTATATTTACGATTTTTAGAATGTCATTATTAATTATTCTTTGGATATTTGGGACTTTTTTCGGCAAAAAAGCCTTACTGCCCCTCTGGTGAAAAAATCGTGCATACGGCCCTGCCCTTGCCACTCTGCAGACACAGCGTGATGCTTATCAAACTATGTTTGATTACTTGATCCTTAATATCGAATCGTGATGAACCGTGCAATATTATGAAAACTATTCTTATTATTCAGGAGTTCAAACCCACGATGTCCTGAAGATGGTGCAGTACTCGAAAAAGAACAAGTGAGTGGTTAACATTTATATATTTATATTCTGACAACCTTTATTCCATGGTAGGCTCACATTATCAGAAGAGTGGTAATTACAATCGTGGACGTAATGCTTGAGACCATTCCTGTCAACATTGCGAAGTTAGCGTACGTTGGCAAAACAAATGTCATCAACCTTTCTTCCCTAGTTCAATGTTGTGACCATCCCCGGAAAAACTTTTGGTAATTTACCGCGACATAAGCTCAACATTGAGTTCGGGAGTGGTAGGTTGTTTGGATAAATCACTAGATCATTGGAACTGATTTCCCATCAGTCTCTGCGATCAAGTTATCAGTCCAATTAGCTTTTATCACGATGACGAATATCCGCCATTTTTTGGTGGCATCCAATTCTCATTAACCAATGCAGACAATTAAAACAATGTGAAAAGCAATTTTTCAAAATGAACTAACCATTTACAAAGCAAATTTAATTACCATCATTTGTCAAAAAAAATCTAAAAAGTCGCTGTTATGTGGACTTATCTCGCAGACTTCCAAAAATGGCGGCGTGATGTTGCAACTGTCATAAACGTGCGTTAGCTGGATTTGAACTGAGATTAGCGAACTTTTAAGCAAGCGACATTTTTGTCAACACGGACGTCAGATTGCCGAGGGGAGACAGGATTACAAACTGTGTTTGTATCAGTTTGTGGTAACCTTCAACACATATGACAAAACATAAAATTTTTAAAGTTTTTTGCTTCCTTACATGATTGAGCGGTATGATGCAAAATGCAACCAAAATGGACCATTTGCATTATAGACTAAATTTTGATCCGGACAAGAATTTCACCACAGCTTGAAAGAGCATCACAAAATTAGTAATATTCCGAAGTTAGTAATATTCCGTTGCGAAATGTTGTAAAATGCGGATAATATAGCCTTGTGAAATTTGCAATTTTCAGTCATTTTAGATTACAAACGGGAAATTGGTGTCCCAACACCCGATTGGGCTGTCAATTTCCCGTGCGTAATACAAAATGACTGAAAAACGGCAACCCTTGCAAGGCTATATTATCCGCAATTTACAACATTTCGCAACGAAACTTTGGAATATTACTAATTTTGTGATGCTCTTTCAAGCTGTGATGAAATTTTTGTCTAGACTTGTTTAGATCAAAATTTAGTCTATAATGCAAATGGTCCATTAGTTCTACCAATTTTCGAGTGACGTTTGTGTTGACAAAAACATCGTTTGCTTAAACTCACTATTAGAATAAGATAAACAATCACTCGAACCTTGGGTATTTGTCTTAAAAAGTTTGATATTAATCTCTTTCAGGTTTTTCCCGATGTTTTCACTAAACGTGAGCTCAATGGATTATGTTTGCATTGTACCAACCAAGGCTGTCATTGGCATGGCACTTATGAAGCACTGGAGGTGAGTTGGGGTGGTAAGGAGAGGGGCCGGGAGGAACGAAGGTGAAAATATTTTGAGCAATCTAAGCTTGCCACTGTAGATTAAGAGTGGGGGATTTACTTAATTAATTAACCAGTTTGCAGCTAGAGTGTGCAAGTGCACGCACCATTTTTTGTCGCTCCTTGAATGAGTGAAATGTCAGTTTAAGGTTGAAAAAATGCGTTTATTGCCAGTTAAATTAGTGTTATGCGGGCAAACGAAAGCGAAGATTTAATGTTCAAGAAGAGGAAAGCACACAGAAATCCTAATACCTGTCCATTTTCACGCGATGCCCACGACTTAATTCACGCACGAGATCTCGTCGATTTTCCGCCTAGTGGCCCCACGTGTTACTGATGTTGGGCTTTTTCCTTCTGTTTGAAAACTCGTACAAGAAGGTGCGTGATTGTTCTCTATTGTGTTGCGAATTAAGGTATTTTCCTCGTCCCTCGCCAAAACCTAACCCTTAAGCCTTAGTTCTCAAGCGCGTGTCCTATGAGCTATGTAAACGTCTAATCGATATTAGAGAAAGACAATCACGAAAATAATTACAATTTACTGAGACGACTGAGTATCTTTTTAACACATCTTTTTTCACTTGGGAAAAAATGCGAACCGCTTTGGGAATTCTCGTGCAAGTAGAGTTTAATCTTTTTTTATCCCAGTTCACTAATCTGTTGAATAAATCCCAGGGTCGGCCGTTGCACGGAGGTAACGAGCCCTACAGACCGTTCGAGAGAAAGTTGTTCACACAGTAGCAAGTAGAATAAGACAATTCAACTAATAATGGAACCATTTCTTTGTGACGCAGGGACATTCTGCTGTCTGTGAACATGCTTTGATAAACTGCATCCATTCGCAATGCAGGATGAAATTCCAACGCTCTCTTATGGGTGAACACTTGAAAAGTGAATGTGAATATCGGAATGTGAAGTGTGACTTTTGTGGGAAAGATGTCACCTTTTCCTCGATGAAGGTAAGTAAAAATAAAGTAACTTTTGAGAACAGTTTGAACAATCTAGCAAGTCACGTCGTCTTATGTAATTAACCTTGAACCTTGTAATTATGCTTGAACCAGTACGGTATACTCAGTTTTACTCGCTGATCATCTAGGAACATGTTGATACGATCTGTGAAGGTGCACCAGTGACTTGCAAATACTGTAAGGAAGATGTCTTGAGAAAAGACATTGAAAGACATGAGAGACGTGATTGCGACGAGGTTCCGGCGACTTGTGAGTATTAAGATGTAGGATGCAACCACGATAAGGTAATACGCGTACTGTGATGATAGCAAATGAGCAGTAAGGAATGAGTAGTACAATAAGATTTACCTCATTTAACCTGCACCAATTGCATCAGAACTCGTCTTCACTATTCTACTTGGATGGCCCTTACTGGGGCTCTAGCCAGTCTGGGATGTAAGTAGTATAATTTTATTTTAACCTTCCTAGGAACGAAACCATGCGATTCATTCATCCTTGTGATTGCGTTGTTTTGTGAAAAGATTAAAGTGCATTACAAAACCTTGAATTTTTAACTGCACAACTTTGATAATAATTCCTCTCAGAAAACATGGAAAATGATCTTCTGACGCTTCGAAATGCAAAACAAATTTCAGGAGGGGGGGGGGGGCGCATGCCCAGTCTCCTGCCCCTTAATGAGCACACCAATAACAATTTGCTTACGACCGCACTGCTTATTAACTACGTTTACACGCTGCGCTTTGTCATGTACGATTCGTATTCTGGCGTATTAAAACGAGTGCTGCCGACATAATTCAGTGCTGTTTTGCTATTAAAAAGAAATTTCAAATGTAGCCAGCTTACGCATGTTTACTCAATAACATACGCCAGAAAACGAATCATACACGATTAATCGCAGCGTGTAAAAATAGCTTTACTGGACCTCAAGGAGGAACAGTTTAGAACTGTCAAGTTTTAATACGGTTGGTAGTTATAAGAGATGAGAAATTGTTTGCTGTTGTTCATGTATCTGATAGTTAAGATTAAGTTTCAACAAAATATGCTTCGAAAGGATGCACACGTAAAAACGCACAAGTTCTTGCAGGTCTGCAAACAAGGTGCGAGAAATCTGCTCACAAGTTGTCGACAACTTGTGTTCGCACTGCTTGTTCCCAGTTGTTGGAACAAGTTTGGAACAAGCTTGTAACAAACTTGCTTGATGGCATTATCAGACTTGTTACAAGGTTGTTCTGACAAATATATCTGATGCAGTCTGCATGATATAACAATGTTACAAGGTTGACAATGTTGTTATATCATGACTGTATCGCACCTATTGGAACAACCTTGCAACAAACAAATCTAATATCAGCAAAGTTGTTACAAGTTGTCAACAAGTTCTTCCATAGTTGTTGATAACTTGAGAGCACAACTTGTTGAGAACCTGTGGGAGCACAACTTGTTGACGGCTTGTTGGTAGACTTGCTATAAAATGTGAGCTTTTTACATGTGTAGATGAGCAAATACTCAGCTGCTGAACTGACAAACGCTCAACTGCCCAATAGTCTTGTATAAATTATTATTTGCCATACATCTTTGATACAATTTGTAGGCTTTGAAGCGAAGGGAACTGCGCCAACATTTGAATGATGGATTGATAGTCCATGGTGGACAACTACTGCGCTATACTCTCGCCGTTGCTTCTCAACTAAACGACTTCATCCCACGTCCAGAATATACAGGAATGTTGCAGAAAATCCGAGACGACATCACTGAGGTTCGCTCTGGCTTGGCTGAGAAATTCATCATGGTTGTTGGAAAGTTAACTGGTTTGGAAAGACGGATTGAAAGCTTGGAATCCAATGGTGGGGGTGATACAAGGATCGGAAATGACATGCATGAGCTACAAAGTAAAATTAGAGACCTTGTTACTGAATGCGGCAACTTACGTGAACGGAATATGAGTTTAGAACGAGAAGTGAGAGATAAGGTCTCAATTATCGATCGTTTGCGAAGTAGGATGGATCAAATGGATGAGTCACTTGCTCTGAATACAGTCAAAATTACCGATTTGGAGTCCCAAAGAGGTCCGCGTGCACAACAAGCTATCCACAGTTGTAATAGCACTTTACTGTGGAAGATCGAAGGCTATCAAAGAAAACGACAAGATGCTATTAACGGAGTGAAGACAGCCTTGTATAGTCCACCTTTCTACAGCGCTCAGTATGGTTACAAGATGTGTGCTAAAATATATTTGAATGGGGATGGTTTTGGAAAAGGATCGCATTTGTCGTTGTTTTTCGTTGTGATGAGAGGCGATTACGATGCTCTTCAAACCTGGCCATTTCAAAAGAAGATCACGATGATGCTGTTGGATCAAGGCAATGAAGATCACATGATTGATGCGTTTAATTCGGATCCTCAAAGTTCATCTTTCGAACGTCCAAGGTCTGATATGAATGTCGCTTCGGGTTCCCCGCTCTTTATGCCTCTTGATAGCTTGAATAATCGTCAGTACATCAAAGATGATGTCCTGTTTATTAAGATAATCGTCGACTGATGTAGATTCTGGGGTCAAGCTTACAGCTAACTGATAACTGGAGTCATATAAAAAACGCGTGTCTTGGATTATTTGGCTTTAGGCAAAAATTAACCTGCGATCAGGGAGAAATGAACTATGGAATAATGGCCTGATCTCTATTGGCCGCCTATAGTTGGCTGCACCCAATCATATGACCGTTTGTACTGTCAATATAGAATAAGAAGGTTTATAGGGAACTCTATGCAGACATAATAGACCTATCATTATCTATGTCCTTCGTTTATGCGAAAATTGGTCGGTTCATCGTCACGTGTGTAGTGTATTTTCGCCAGAGCAACCGATACCTATATATTTATCACTTTACTGAGACCTCGGGAAAGCAGTGTGTTTTGTGGACCCGAGGTCTCCCGTCGATGTTTCCCGAGGCGAAGAATGTTTTATTATATATCAATAGTCAAAGAAACAACAAATTAAAGAACAAATGAACGTAAATACATGAAATATTTTATTGTTAAAACGTTATATTAAACACTGGCTACACTGCAGTTCGGCTTAAAGCGAAAGTTTTAATTACGTACTAGGCATGTCCAAAGGTCGCATCTTCACGTGATGGCGCACGTGATTTTTTTTGTTATTCGCCGGTCGATAACGTATTATCTCCCTCTCGCGCTGTTGCGAGGGAGACAGCCTCATTTCGTCACTCTCACGTGATATGCTCTCAACCAATAAAACACTAGAAAAATGCGACTTTGACTATTGGTATATAATAATTTTATTTAACAATTGTGTAATATCACGACTGAGTAATTAAAGCAACCGACACTGCTATTGGTTGGTTGGGCGAAAAAAAAACAATACAGACGTGTCGATAAACCGAATGAGGTGTATTATGTCTGCATCAAGTTTCCCAACCTTATTCTATTGACTAAGGGATTTGTAGATGGCGATTTCGGGTGGAATTTTTTATACATTTATTAGACCTAACCAGAAGCAGTTGCGAAGAATGCAACTCTCGAACCTGCAGCCCAGCTACAAAGCCAGTTGTCGAGTTACAGAACCACACTCTAACTGAACTTTCCGCATCAAGGGATTTGCTTGTTCCTGAAAAAGCGCAGGAAAATAAAAATAACAACATTTTTAATAATCGTTTTAATTAAACTGCAACCACAAGGTAAATATGAAATGCTAAATATGAAACAATATTAAACCTAAAACCGTAAATTTATAATAACAAATAAATAACATAATTGAACTGTAAAAAAAAAATTATTAAAAACTTTGTATGTTCCCCAAAGGGCTTTTCAGCATACAATTACAATTGACGCAATTTAAATAAAGCTATGCTATACTATTCAAAATCTAAGTTATGATTGTCTATTAAAACCTTCATATATATGATACTAAGAATTTAAAAGGTGTTCTTTTAGTTTTTTCTTAAAAACCTTGAGTTCTGAAATCTTTTTCAGTTGATCGTCAATATCGTTCCATATCTTAACTGCGCGATAATGAAATGTTCTTTGCCCTGCAGTAGTTTTATAGCTTGGAATATTTAAACAGTAGTTATTTCTAGTCTGGCAGTTATGAATATCAGATCGCTTTGTGAATTTATTTACAAGGTAACTTGGCGCAAGGTTGTTCAGACATTTATAAGTCATTATCGTGTCTTTGTAAATAAG